CTATTATCCCGGTTTGGGTTTCTTTTCCGCTTTTACGTATGCTTCTCTTTACCCCTCGTATTCTTCATGCTTTGGGAACAATTTTTGGTCAACCCTTGAAAATAGATGCGGCTACCTTTGCGGGTTTCCGATCCTCCTTAGCTTGTGTTCTTGTGGAGCTTGATATTACTAAATCCTACCCTAGCCGGGTTTGGTTAGGTTCTGAGAGCTTAGGGTATGTGCAGGAAGTTACCTTTGATGATTTCCCCCCTTTTGTGCCTCATACAAATGCATTGGTCACTTAACAGGGAATTGCCGCCCTCCACCTATATCTGAACCGTCTGCTATCCATGCTCCTATTTTGGGCAATGTTGCGGATGATTTTGGGCCTTTTGGTCTTATGAATTTGAATCCTAAGAACCCTGATTTGTCTACTATTGCGATTATGATTGTTAATTCTGTGTTGAATAATACTCCTCCCCCTTCCCTTGCTATTATGTTGCTTTTTGTTGATTGTGCCCCTGTAGCAAATCTTATGGGAACTATAGAGGTTTCAGAGGGTGTTTTACCTATGATTTCTGCTTCTTTAACTCAGGTTAATGCCGTTTTGACTGGGGTCATGCCCGCTGTTCAGGGCTCTCAGGTTTGTTCTAGTGATGACGACGCTTTGTGTTGTGGCGTTAATTCTATACCTGTTCTATCTGATGTGGGTGATGTGTCTGCACCATGTGATTTGATTGGAAATGTTGTTCCTTGTGAGGCCGTTGAGCAATCTAGTTCGTTTGGCTCCCCTATTCGTGATTTATCCCATGTGTCTCAAGAAGTTGCCTGTTCTTCGATTAATTTGGGTGTGGATCAAGCTGTTGTAGGCTTGGCAAGCAATGTTAATATTGTTAATATTCCTATTTTTGTGTTGTTAATGTTGAAATGCATGATCATGTGGCTATGTTTGGAAAAAAATTATGTTTTGCTTCAAACGGATTGGTTAATTTTAGAGGACAAATACTCTTCTCCTTCAAGTGCTTCTCCTTCTAGTGGGGATGAAGAGGATTTTCATGTAAGTGAGGAGGAGTTTGTTGGATGCTCTGTTGGTCGTGGTTTTCATAATGCGAGGGTAGCAGATCTAAAAGGAGAGGAAGAAAGTAAGTGGATTGGGTTTTATCCTTGTTTACTTGGCTGGTTAGCATCGTGGATGCAGCTTTTTATGGATTGTTGGATGGATTCAGATAGTTGTCATCCACGGTTGGTCTATGATATAGCTCTTTGCGCTCTCGTCGTGGTTTTTGAAGGTGTGTGGATGATGATGAGGAGGCCTCTGCTTCCCCTTTGTGGCTAAGCTGGCTGGCAACCCGAGTGCCTCAGTATTGGGTGGATTGCGATCATTTTCTGCCACCTAAGGATGGTCTGTGCATGGCTGCTAGGCTAGTGCTAGGGGCCTCCATTCCTGAGTTCCCCTTCCTTGTTTATTTAGCTCTGTTTTATTTTTTTGGGTCTTTATTGTTTGTAAACCTTGTTGTTGTGCTATGACTTTGTTTCCCTCATAATTTTATTTAATAAAAAAAATTATAAATAAATAAATAAATAAATAAATAAAAAACTTGAGCTCACCTCCAAAATTTTAACTGAACGCAACCAAACGGCCCCTAAATGATATTTTCCATCTAACGAATATTATGACTATGTAGGCTTGTTGAGTTTCCTCAATCTGTTAGGCCCAACCCAATCACGAGCATAGTTTGGGGCCTTGGGCTGGCCGATTATATTTATATCTCTCTTATGTTTTAAAAGCAGAGGTACTGATTTAAAAGCTCAACCTTAAATCTGCATGGAAAGCCCATCTTGTTCGGCTCTTTTGATTTAAAAGTTCGACCTACAATATTTATCTAATGTATGTCCCACACAACTTAACTGAATTTATTTTCTTAACCATAGTATCAGGATATGCAGAAAGTCATTAAATTACCTTGAAATTAATAATGTATAAATTTTAAATTAACTTTATTAATTTTTTATTTATTTTAACTTAAAATTTAAATGATTTATTTATACTTATTTCATTTTTTATAATATTAATATTTTGTTTTAACAAAAAATAAAATATTATTTTCAAAATTATATTTATATAATTTTATTTTATTTAATTAGTGTAATTATTTCTTCATTAAGATAAGATCCACTAAAGTTTTTTCTTTTTCTTCTGACGTTCACGCTTTTATTGCTGTCATTATATGTAAATATTTCTAAGACTTTAATTTTTGGATGAACAATTGTTAAAAACTACTATTATATTCAATTTAATTTACTGTACACCGCCACAAGAATATTGTTAGCTTAGCTTAATTGTAAATATTCATTTAAATCTTTTATTATGTATTCATGGGTTAACCTGTGTACAACCCGTGAGCTTTAGTATATATAGGATTGTATCCCTGTAATTCGACAGACAATAGAAAATATTATTTCTCTCTGTTTCAGCTCTTCTTCATCTTCTTCAAATATGAGCCATCTAACTAAGCACATTCAAAATATGATGTAATTAATCTGAAATCAAAATATTTGGAAATTTGCTATTTTGTATTAAAAATTTGTATTAAAAAGTAGAAAAATCAAACAATCTCAAATGAATCCTAAATATATTGTAAAAAAGACTTTCTAGAACAAGAATTTTTTGAAAAAATAAAAAATATATGAAAAAAACTTATAATTTCAAACTATGCAATATTTTCTATTGAGTTTTGACTGTCGGCGAGCCAAAAATTCAAAGCAAGAATTGTATAACGTGTTAAATTAATGTGGTACGTAGCTGAATGCAAAAGGAATATTCAAAAGCTTTTGTCATTATATGAATTGAACTAATTAATTATTCACTTACGTACGCATATACAATATATAAATATCTTGGCGCGCATATATATATATTGATCGATCGTTATATAAAGTGCATATTGATTTTTGAGAGAAGATCTGAGAAGCTTAATTAATTTCCATGCAGATTGAGCTGGCGATTAATATTTGTGGACAAATAATTAAACGTGGTGCTTAACTGTCAGCAAATATTAAGGGGTCTCAATCTCATCGATCGGTCCCGTTGGAAATTAAATGTATATATGATTGTAGAATGTGTACGTTTAATAATAATGATCCAGCAGGTAGGTAGATCGAATGAGTGATGATAGGATCATTATTTAATTTGTTTGACATCTAAAGTTCAACAACTCTTTATTGTTAATGTCCTTAAGCCTAAGCACTTTAGAGGTAACATTTTATGGTATTTCTTTTTTAATATTAACTTGCATATTAATGGGCCGGGGGAATATATTCTCCAAAAATTATGAAATGGATTAAGCCTGATACCTAAGAATGCAAGCTTAATATTGACGTACGGCTCTGTTAAAAAAGATGGTACTGATTGTGGTGGCCTCATTAGGGATCGTCAAGGTGATCTTCTTATTGCATTTGCTTTTAATATTCTCAATGGTAACTCTCTTTTTGTTGAATTATGGGTTCCTTACAAGGGGCCCAGGCTTTATATTGATCTAAACATTAGTAATGCTTTGATCGAATTAGCTAGATTCTAAACTGTAAAAAAAAAAAAAAAAGATTCTAATCTGTTGGTTTCATTAGTTATTTCTAAAAAAATCTTGATGCTAATTTGTTCTACCTCTTCATCAAAACTTTAGTCTTGCTTAATAAAATTAATTATAGAATTACTCGTATTTGGAGAGATCGAAGACAAGATTTGAGCTGACTGGTTGGGCTAAGGAAGGCTCTAAATTTTCTAATACAAACTGATTTCATAAAGATTCCTATTTTGATTTCCTCAAAGATATGATAGGAATAGACATGCAAAATGAGTATTCCTAACATTAGATAATAATATGTTACTTTCTGTTTTATCATTTTATATCCTGACTTTTATCATTTTTTATTTACGGGATTTTAGTATTTATTAGATCTTTTACTTGATGAAGCATGAATTATATATGGTAGAATATGTATTGATGATGGTGATTGCTGGGGTAATAGGGGGCGGCAATGACTATCTCAAGCAAATTGAACTAATTAAGATGACATTTGTGACCACAATAGGCCCAAAGGTGATGATGGTGACAAGCTTGAAGATAATTAATGTTGCTAATCGTGGCATGACTGTGGAGTGGTTAAAGATAATATCAATAATGATAAACTTAAAGGTCAAGACAACAATTTAAATGTACCTGAAGTAGGTAGAGACGACATATTTGAAGATGTATGGCGACTACGAAAAACCTGAAAGTAGCGACTACGACATAATTAAGGAATGACAACAAAGGGATATATATAGACCTGAAGTGTATTATGATATTGATAAAGCTAGATGATGATAATATATAGTTATGGGTGGAGGCTACAACAAAAGGTGACAATGGACACTCAAATTAGCATCGACAACAATTAAACTCTAGACATCAACATACCCTTGGATATTTGAACCGTATGCTTTTGGCAATGGCTACAATATATGATAGTAAAGGGACGTCTTAATAGTGTCTACTAATCAACAAAAAGAGTTTTATTAAAGGTGGTAGATATCTTTCTCTAGGGCCAGAGCCTTCTTCCAAATCAATATGACCATATATAAAATGAGGGTTTATTTATATATTTAACTTATAATAATTCTATTAATTAAATTCCAGAAAATTTAAAATTAATGATAAGCTCGTTAAATATCACTTAAAACTAATAATAAATTCAACCTTTTGTGACTATTTTTTCTATTCTATAAAATTATTTCTGCAGATTTAAAAAACAAAAACAAAAAAATCTACCACAGTTTGAAGAAAAGGAGCAGCTAGCTAGCTAAATGAAAATTGATCAAGGATTTTTAAGTACGTACATGTCATAATTAAAAAAAGAGTCCTAGCTTGCGAGCTAGCTACTTGCTAGCAGGAAGAAAATAAAACAAGCAGCTAGTACATAATTTTTTGAACTAGAAACAAATTGATTTATGAAAAAGATCGATCGATAAATATGATCTCTTCTAATACTACAATTATCATCACATGAGCAAGCTCCTTATAATGGCAGCCTGAGCACTATTGTTATCAGTAGTTTCTAACAGCTCCGACAGCCTCTCACTAAGGTTGTCCACCTCCCGGTGTAAGCTCCTTATGTAGCTACAAATCTCCTGCAACACCTTTGCTGCATTTGCCTGCACCATCACAATTTCTATAAGTTCTTACCTTCAAATGAAACTAATATAAGATACAAACTATAGCTAATACAACATTGAATGTAAGAAAAGTATCATAAAGATGGCAGAAATCTTTGCCCTTAGAGTAGCTAAGAAGATCTGATCTTTTTTATGAGAGATTTGTTATAACTATATCTAACTGCTCTAATGGTTATTTTTTATTGAGGCTTATTAATTAATGTTTTTTCGCTTAATTTTATATATTGTAACATACATATAATGCAATAAATATTTTTTAGAAAAAATAGTAGCTCTAGAGTACTAAAAAAACAATGTAAAAGTAAAAAAAAAAAAATCAAAAAAATTTTAAAAACTATTTTAAGAAGCAGCAAGAAAGTCATCCCAACCGATGGTAATAAGTTCTTGATTTTTTCTTAGATTATATTTATGATGGAAAATAAGGCAAAAAAAAAAAAAGCAAAACCTTTTCTCATTAGTGTGTGTTTTTCAGAAGTTATTTTGAAAAATAAGAATAATATATAATTTTAAATTTGTTGGATTCATATAATTAAACACCTTCAAAACCTTATGAGCTTATATATCTACTAACAAAATAATTATATTTATTTATATAACATCTAAATTTCTCAATCACCTAAAAAAGATTATTGATATTAAACCTTTAATTTAAAGTAAAATAAAAAATATATTATTATGTATATGTCTTGATATATATGATTAAAATACTAGAGTGTAATTAAAAATAAAAAATATAAGTATTAATAATATAAATACAAAAAAAATTACGATAGTTATATAAAATCTCCATTAAATTCTCAGGATAAAATAAAACTTATAGAAGTTAATTAATATAAACGGCATTAAAAAGAAAAAAGAAAACATAAACTTACGAATTTATTTTGAGATAAGCTGATAAGCATAACATAAAATTTGATTGATTGATCAATACTCAACTAAAATTAAATCAAATAATATTATGATAAATAAAGAGCAATTCTTTGTGAGGAACAAAATTACTTACATTGGTCACCGGCCGGTCATTTGTGTGCAGGCGGGCTTCTGGGAGCAGCGTCTGTAGCTTTGAGATCAGCTCATTCATCTGCTCATCAGTGATGCGAGAAGAGGCCGAATGCCTTGACCGAGATCGACGGCTCGACATCGTAAATCTTCTGTGATCCTGTTTATATATGTTGGACAAGATCTAATAAATGTGTCACTGAGAATTAAAGAGAGAGAGAGAGAGATCTTGCTGTGAATAATACTGAGATGGAGGGAGATAGAGAGAGGCAGAACTCACAGGAGGAGCTGATGAGAAGGAAGACGAGTGCATGGGAAAAACAAATGGGCTGCTCTTCTATTTAAATAGGATATTGGCTGTGTGAGATGGAGAAATAATCAACTCTTATTTCAAAATATCAAGGGGGATTATGTAAAAAAAAATTTAAAATAAAAAAAATCAAGGGAGGTTATGTGTATGGAGACTGGTTAAGGGGCCCTGAAGGCCGGAAAGGAAGAACATGGAGGCTATCATGCGCTGAAACTCAGATATTTGTACGTCGATCCTTCATCTTTTACTATGAACTGTGATTCCTATCAGAAAAATAACTTAATTAGATATTTGTGGATTCTCCATCATTTACTATGAACTTTGATACCTATATATTAGGAAGCATTTATCTCATTGCATATAAATTTTAACGTTATTAAGTATTTAAATTAATATTTTTAAAATTGAATTTGAGGTCATTTTTATTTCATTTTCATTAAATTTTTTAAAAAATGTGCATTTTAACATATTGATTTAATGGGCTCAAAATTGCTTAAATTTGAGGTTCCTTGGACCTCAATGCTTAAAAAATATCAAATATTCAAGAATAATTATTATTGGCCCTCCTATACACTGTTTGAGATTTTAACCAAAAAATAATAATAATAAAACAACACTATCAAAATCAAAGTAGTGAAAACCGGATTAGACAATGAACTGAAGAAGTAGATATTCTACGGAGGTCGATCAGATGATGCAAGTAAATTAATCATATATATTAAAATTTAATAAAATTAGCATAATAATAATATAAATATATGAGTGTTTAATGATTTTTTTTATTAAAATTTTATTAAAATTTTATAAATAAAAAATTATTTTAAAGAATAATATATTTTATAAAAATATTTATAAGAATAATAGTTATATATTATTTGTTAAAAATTAATGATCATTTAAATTACATATAATTATATTAGTATTTAAATATATATATATATAATATATATTAAATATATAATATCATTTAAGAATAATTTATTTTTATATTTATAATAAAATATAATAAATATTTTATAAGAAGAATATTTAATATAAATGTTAATTTTTTATAATTATTTAATTTTTTATAGTATAAACAATTAAAATAAATTTATTATACTAGTCCAATTTGTAGCCTCAATTAAGCTTAATTTTGAAGTCCAACTAGGCCCCAACTAAGCCAAATTCATTATTCTAAATTATTCATGCAACTTTTTAAGTCCCAATCATATGAGAAATTTAGGTGTTGCCTTTTAACCTTTAAAATGATGTGAAGTAACACTTTTCCTAAACACATTATGTGTGATAATTTTGAGATAATATACATAATATTTAAGGTGTAATTTAATCATTATAATTAATAAAACATTTTAAAAGTTAAAAGAATTTAAAAAGATTATATATTATTTAACATTTAGTTAAACAATTTTTTTTTTTTTAAAAATATTATCAGTCAGTTCTTTTCAAACCGCAAGACTGGTTTCAAAAGCGGTTGAACCGCCTGGTTTCAATCGGTTTTTGAGCCGATTTGATGAGAAGCCCCGGTTATGTAGGCTGGATTCACCAGACGGTTTCATGTTGAACAATTGAACCGGCTCATGAGGAGGAATTTTGGTGGGATGAGAGTTTCCATATTCGAACTTATGGTTTGAAGATGGAATACGAGCAGATTCTGTGAGACTCATCCTACTTCATATGAACAGCTAGGCATTAAAAGACCAGTAGCTGTTAATGAGTTCTGATCCCAGAGTGATGTAATATATAGATTTTCTAACAAATTTTAATGCATCCTTTATTTATCACATAATTAAAATTTGATATTTTTTTTCATATAATACTTAAATTTTTAAATAATAATAGATAATATAATAAATATTATTTTAAAAATTAAATGTAATATTTTAATATCATTCAACATTATGCATGCAATATATTGAGGTGATTAAATTAATATATGAAATATATAAATATATAAAAATTTGATGGTATATATGTAAATACGGTATTTAATGAAATGCTCATGTGAAAATTATCACAACAATAAATTTGAATAACAAACAAGAAAAAGTAATACTTATGTCCTCTTAACTCAAAAAAGGATGCATGGTCACCTAATTTTGACCAATCTTTCTTCCAATGTGTTTCTTGTGATTAAATATCCGATAAATACACATGCAATAAAATTTCATGTGGTGTAAAGATGATATGCATGCGATATTGTCTCTCATTCTTAAAGCAAATAATAATAATAAATAAAAATTATCTTAAATCTTAAATTGACCCTTGCTAGCTTAATAATCTCATGTTATATCACTCCAAGAAATTCGTCTAATATCGACGCAACTTTCGGCGATTATTTGGCTGTCATAATTACCAGCGTTTAAACTATCAGTCTGACCGCCGCTATTTACCGGCAATCTAACCGTAGGTACAAAAGACTAAACCGCCGGTATCCTGTTTTCATGACATATTTATTGGCAGTTTAGCCGTCGTTTTTAAGTAAAAATGTTTCAACGACTTAAACCGCTGGTAAGGGCCCTAAAACTAAAACCCCCAACCTCACCCCTACTTTTTCATCATTTCTTCTTGCTCGATTGTTTGGTTCGTCCAGAGAAGTCGCGACTGACCTTGCCCTAGCCAATTTTCGCCTACCTGTCTTAGCCAAAGATGATCTCCTTAATTTTTCTTTTTTTAATATAGTTTTTTTTAGTCTATTCTAGATAAAGGGCTAGATAAAACTTGATTCAAATAAGTTGTGTAACTTTGGATATGTAGTTCTTAATTTCTCATATATTCGAATTTAGTTCATAGTCAAGCATAGGTTTAAATTTTATTAATATTTAAGGTTTAGGTTCTTTTAGGTTCATAAATATACTTTAGCGTAGACTTCTACAATGATTTAAAATTAAGAAAATCATAAGTAGAATCATATTGTAAATATAAGTACTTTTTAGCTTCTAATTTATAATTAAAAAGATATTCATAGCCTACAATGTCTACAATGAGATCAAATGTTTACTATGCATGCCTTTGGTTTTGTTGTGCGTTTAATGGCTTTAGGAGAGGTGTCAAGTATTTTTCATATAAATATTTTTCAAGAGTACAATATTTCAAGTATGAGGATAATTAAAATTATTCTTGGAATTTAAAACTCTAAAAACTAATGAGTGATTTTTGAAATATTGTTGGCTTAAGTTATGTTTTATTTCTTACCTAAGATCTTTAATGAAGTATATATTGATAATATAATAATCTTTAGACAAACAATGATTATCTATAATGCATTCAAGCCTAAAAAAATCTAACACTATATATCGATCTTGCTCAAAATTTATCATGCAATTTCTATTTATAACCAATGAAAAATAAATATTAATCTTTATGTCTATATACTAGACTAAGTAGAATTTATTTTAATAGTAACATCAAATCCATTAAACTCATGAGCCCAAAAAAGTTTTGTTTAGATTTTGATGATAATAAATATCACTAAGGAAATATAACTTATGATCTCAATCTAGAACATACAAGGAACATATGCATCATAAAAATAATTCAAACATAAGTAGGAAATTTGAATAATTTGAGAAAATGTTGAGACTTGTTTAAGCAAAAACAAACAAACAAAAAAACTTTTGAGATACGCATCGCAAGGGATTATTTCTTCTTATTGATGCATTTACCACACCTTTAAGGCGCCACCTTTTTAAATATTCAAGAAATAGTTAGCCAAAGGGTTGCTGCCCTGACAAGAGAGACAGAGGAGATAAGAAAGATTCAAGTTAAGATACAGGCAGAGCTGTGATCACATCGAGCTGAAAATCAGAAGAAAAAAGAGCAAGAGTCTATACTTGAATCACATGGCAGCGAGAACACAAATGATAATTAGTTGTTGGTATTTGTTTGAAGAATTAGGTGGTGTATTTTGAATATATGGATGTGAAAGTGCTTGTTTTATATTTTTAAGATTGTTTAATAAGTTGAACTTTAGATATTTTATGTTTTGAACTGTTAGAGTATCTGTTGATTGTGGATCAGTGGCGGAACTACTCAAAAAAAAAAAAAAAAAAAAATTT